AATCAGTGCTATTTTAGAAAATACATAATTGGTCATTGGTGTCAGTTAAGGCACCAATCTAGAAGCCAGGAGACTGCGAGTTCTAGTCCTGCCATCTTAGACATGAAAGCCAGCTGGGTGACTGTGGGCCAGTCACTCACTCTCAGCCTAACTCACCTCACAGGATTGTTGTTGTGGGGAAAATAGAATAGTTGCGACCTGTAATAAAGTAAATAAGACCTGTTCTTGTTATAAGTAATTGCATATATATGTAGTATGTATGTATGTATGTATGCATGTTAGATTGGCTTTGTTGGTGTGGCAGCTACACAGCCTGGGTGAAATACATCCAAGTGTGCTTTTGAAGTTATTCAATACAAATACCAGCAATGCATGACTGGAAATTGTCAATGCAGTGATGTCAAGTCACAGAGGGGGAAATAGTCCACATTCAGTACAGAAATAAATGTACTGTACTGAATTGGCACTATTTAATAAACTGTGGTGGTTGCACTAAATTCTCAAGAAGTCTTATTGACTTTAGTGAAGAAAACGATCTAAGCATCCATGGGGGAGGGAATAAAGGGGGGGGTGTTAATGGTGAAATTCATGCTATGATTCTGTAATGCAAATTTATATATAGCTGTATTATGATGCCATAATGTACATTTCATCATTTTGGATTCATTGTACTTGGGGACAGACATCAGTGGCAAAATATTTAGAGGAATGTATCATGAAACTATAGAAATCCTCATATTTGATTTCAACTTCTATTGTAAAATCAGATAACAAACTGCAATTGCTTAGTAGCAACCCATTAATCAGAGAAATGGAGTTTGCTGGTACACAGATAATTTACTTAATTTGGCAATGTTCTGGCCTGTTGCTCTACTTGTGCCAAAATTACAACTTCTTCTCTGTTAGGCAATAAATATCAGCCAATATGATTGATATTACAAAAAAGTACACTAAAATCTGCAAAGATAAGTTTATGATTGTGGCAAGAATTCCAAACTATTTGGGAAAAAAAAAAATAAAGACAGCAGCCATCCCAGGGGTGAAAATGCTAAAAGGCAGAGACAATAGAAGATAAAATACTTAAAGTACCATCACTTCAATTCTTCTGGATAAAAGAATATTTATATGTATACATATGAGTTAAGATTTTCTCTATCGTATTGAAAAAGTTATCCATTTATTACATAATGTTAGTTTAGTATCACTGTATCTTTGATCAAACCTCAATTTGAACTATCTAGTCATTTTCTCTTAATATATAGAAAAGCACATCCAGTTGTCTTCATTAGGTTCCAGTTGTGAATTACGACTATTTCTTATTAATGCATGATGTGCCATGTAGCTATTTCAATTCATTTCCATTCTAATCTGTCCTGTAAAAATTCTAGTATACTGCTACAATTAGTTTTTTCATGTAAAGAGCATACATTTCACAGGCTGAAGACTTGCTGTCCCTGGATGGTGTTAGAACCTTTCATTAGCCCACTACTACAGCAAGTAATCAGGAAAAATAGAAATTAAACAGTTTCTGCATCACTGTCATCAAAACAACATAATTTTTAATAAAGACAGCATGGAACAATAACAGATTTTTCTACAGTGTAATTGTCCTGTTATAAGGTCCAAAAAATCTTTTTGGAAGATTATCAGAATAAGGCAAAAGATATATAAATTAATATATACATTTGTATATGATACTTTTAATTTAAAGCTATATATGGGCTGAAGAGGTCATATAATAAATATAAACTGCAATATAAACTGAGTCTCCCTTCATAAGGAAAGAAACGTGAACTCATTTGCAACAAAAACCTCTTGGCAATTTTAAGGGCAATATTTTTTACATGACACTCACCAGTATTATTGCAAGTGCTACTGTTTTAAAATTAGACAATGAGATACATGGAAATACATGTAACATGTACTCTGGCCATATACTGCCAGAGTAACTTACATTTTTTATTAATTACAATGATTCACAATTAGTTGTATTATGGACAATAAGTAGAGATTCTTTTGATGTTAGCTGTTCTAAAATTTTCCAATCTCAGAAACCTAACCTTTTTAATCCTACACTTAACCCGCCATTAATTGCTTTAGTTCTTTAAAAAGGCACTTTATCCAAATGAATACTTTGAAAGAGAGCAGTAGCCTCCTAGCATTGTCATTCAAACAACTACTTCTCATGCTTAACCTAATTTAAATAGAGGATTCTGATAGAAAAGGAATGGTGCTGATTGGGGGGCTGATGGAGAATATAGCTAAGTTTACAAAAAAATATTTATATGAAATAGATTTGCAGCTCATCTTACTTTACTTATTGAGTTTGCAACGTAATTCACTCATCTCCATATCTTTAAGTGCAGTCTAAGTGGCCCAAATAGATTTATGCACACTGTATTTGCTTATAATAGATCATATCTCTTGCTACGTCATTTTGAGATAGTGGGGATTTATAGTCTAAGAGACACTTTCAAACTGAGTTAATGCATGGTGAAGTTAAAAGGTTGACTGGATGCTGCTGAACAAGACTTGCAGTCATTTTGTCTTGTAAATTGGAATTTAGATTACTGATGATTCAAGCAGGAAACAAATTTGGCTACTGACACCATAACGAAAAATAATCCTTTATTCCAGAATTCAGAATAAAATCATTTTGTAAATGGGAACCTAGATAAACATGCAGCAGCCAAGCCATCTTCAAAGAATTGGTTTTCCATTTATTCCCTGAATGGAAGCATTTGAAAAGTGAGCTTATAAAAGCCCAGTCTAGCATAATACCAACAAAGAAGAAAAATAACAGCTCTCAAAAGAAATCAGCATGGCTGCATAAAGAACTCTCTGATAAATTGAAAGATAAAAAGGACAAGTATAAAAAGCGGAAAGAGGGACACATAACTAAGGCAAAATATCAGCAAATAGCCCAAGCCTGCAAAGATGAAGAGAGGAAAGCTAAAGCTCAAAATGAACTAAGGCTTGTGACAAAAGTCAAAAATAACAAAAAAAGCTTCTTTCAACATGTAAAAAATAAGAAAAAAGTTAAGGAAACGATTGGTCCATTAGTGGGAGAAAGCGGTAAGAAGGTGACAAGCAACAGAGAGAAAGCAGAACTGCTTCTTTTTTGCATCCATCTTTACACAAAGGGAAAAAACAGCCCAACCTATCAAAAACAGTACCGTAAAAAACAAATTAGAAACACAAGTTAAGATAGGCAAGAAAATGGTAAGTGAGCACTTGTCCACCCTAGACTAGTTCAAATCACCAAGACCAGATGGATTACACTCCAAGGTTCTGAAGAAGGGAACTATCCGAGGACTGGAAAAGAGCTGATGTAATTCCCATCTTCAAAAAAAGGGGGGAAAATGGATCCAGGAAACTACAGACCTATCAGCCTGACCTCAACACCTGGGAAGATTCTGGAAGATAATCAAGCAACGAATCAGCGAACACCTAGAGGTAAACAAAGTCATTACTAAAAGCCAACATGGGTTTGTCAAAAACAGAACACGCCAGACAAATCTTATTGCATTCTTTGACCAGATGACAAAATTAGTGGACCAAAGGAATGCTATGGATATAATTTACTTGGACTTCAGTAAGGTATTTGATAGTAGACCACAACCTACTACTTGATAAGATAGAAAAATGTGGGTTAGACAGTATCCCCACAAGATGGATTCATAGCTGGCTGACCGGCTGTACTCGTTGTGTGGTCCTCAATGGAACTGCATCTACATGGAGGGAAGTGTTCTGGGCCTAGTGCTCTTCAACATCTTCATCAATGATTTGGATGAGGGGGTAGACGACACCAAGCTGGCAGGAATAGCCAACACTCCAGAAAATAGGCATAAGATACAGAAGGATCTTGACAGACTTGAACATTGGTGCTATCTAACAAAATGAAATTCAATGGTGAAAAAATAAGGTTCTACATTTAGGCAAGAAAAACCAAATGCACAGGTACAGAATAGATCCTACCTTGCTCAGTAGTAGTAACTATGAGAGGGATCTCGGAGTTCTAGTGGACAATCACTTAGATATGAGCCAGCAGTATGCTGCAGCTGCTAAAAAAGCCAACCCAGTGCTAAGCTTCATTAACAGAGGGATAGAATCAAGATCACGTGACGTGTTAATAACACTTTATGATGCCTTGGTAAGGTCACACTTGGAATACTGCATCCAGTTTTGGTCATCACGATGTAAAAAAGATGTTGAGACTCTAGAAAGAGTACAGAGAAGAGCAACAAAGATGATTAGGGGACTGGAGGCTAAAACATATAAAGAATGGTTGCTGGAATTGGGTATGTCTAGTTTAATGAAGAGAAGGACTAGGGATACATGATAGCAGTGTTCCAATATTTCAGGGGTTGCCACAAAGAAGAGGGTGTCAAGCTATTCTCCAAAGCACCTGAAGGCAGGACAAGAAGCAATGGATGGAAACTAATCAAAGAGAGAAGCAACCTAGAACTAAGGAGAAATTTCCTGACAGTTAGGACAATTAACCAGTGGAACAACTTGCCTCCAGAAGTTGTGAATGCTCCAACACTGGAAGTTTTTAAGAAGAGACTGGACAGCCATTTGTCTGAAATGGTATAGGGTTTCCTGCCTGAGCAGGGGGTTGGACTAGAAGACCTTCCAACTTTTTTATTGTTATTGTTATTATGCAAGAATATTCCTCTTTCATAGTCTTTGTTTTCAACTGATCAAATGAGTTGGAAAAAGCCAGAGAACAGTCAATTTTGAATTCAATTCATCTTTGCTATATTTGAAAAATAATTTAAATACAGGTTCTCATTAATAGCTTTTAAAATAAATAACAATTTTTTGTCTTCACAGGATATAAAAAGATAAGGTGGGACAAATACTTTCAGATGACCTGAGCAGACACTCGAAGACATGTAACTAAGAAAGAGAACCAACTCAGAAACATGGGATTCATTCAGACTGACTTTATCTCCAGAATTATGAACGATTAAAAAAATGAATAATTTCATATTTTATTATTTTCACATTTTTACTATAAATTAATACATTTTACAGGTTCTGCATTATGCGTAATTTTTCGTGCTATTCACTGTTAATATTTTAAATACTGTTTAATCAGATAAGAAAATTCTGCTTATGTAGCTGGATAAAAATACAAATGTTATTTATGTAAACATTGTACCTTTAACCATAATCCCAACTTAGTAGTTCAATGGATGTAGTGCAAATAATTATAAGAATGTAGCATGTATAGGCAGTTAAAAATATTAAGAAAAAGACTTATAGAATTATCTAAACTTTATTGTTTTACATCTTGACACAATGTTGTTTCAAGGTCACTTCAAAAGAATATTAAAATGGCACACAGACACGTATAATGAAAAACTCAAATTTTGTTTTAAATACAGCAGGTTTCTTGGATTCATCACAGGTAGATTCTTTTGGGCTACAACAATTTTGGCGTAGCTGACTCAGATTGCGAACTAAACCCAATTTTCAAATCTGTGCTACTAATTTTTTAAAACAAAACAAGCACAGTCAAAATATTAATTTTATTATTACTATCATCATAAGCATTCTGTTTATCAAAGACAGTTTGGAGAAGGAACACTGGGCAGTCTTAACTTCGACCTTCAAAGTAGTGTTGTTCTATTCTTCTGCAAAATGCAGTGAGGTTACTGTAGCCTTTCACTTTTTCAGACAGTTCATCGCTGATCAACTGGGTAGTAAGGATTGTGAACAGATGTCCAAATACCAAAGCATCTAATTCAGTTGGCCTATGAACAAAAGAAAACTAGTATGTTGAATGAGAGAACCATTGCAAGTCACGTTATCCATTGTATATCGAGACTACTGCATAATATCCAGCGCCAATTGTATATCCAGACCACTGCATAATATCTTGATCTTTCCATTTTGAGGAGAAAATGCTATCAACTGCCTTTATTCCACCTCTTCTCCTTAAGGTTGGGACAGAAGGTTGCCAGTTTATGGCTTGAAAACTACAACAGTGATAAAGAAGCATACAAACGCTTCACCAATCACAGCCATGCCTATCCTAATAATGATGAAATTGGTGGGCCGGAGGGATATTAATAAAGGCCAAAATAGGTTTGGCATCTAAGCACCCAGTCACTGCTCAACAGCAATGATCTTGAGTTTTTGCTTTCTGAGTTCTATCCTTTTAATCTGAGTATCAGAAAGTAGACTGCCTTCAAGCTTAATGTTAATAGAAGTGAATGTAAAAAGTCTCTCTCTCCCCCCCTCCCCTCACACACACACACACACACACACACAATCAACCAAGATATTTTGAGAGAATGGAATTGGTATCAGTTCAAATGATCAAAGCACTGAAAATATGAATACAATACTATTTTTAAAACATATTACTGAGGAATATAATCGAAGAGTAACTTAGAATGGAAATAAACTTGCGGTGGTAGCATTTCTTTACTCTAACCTAGATTTTAGAGTGTGTTGATTTAGACAAAAATCCATTTTTTAGAAACTTCTTTGGAAACTCATTTCACTGAAATTCTTCATAGTGCTTTCTAACTTGATCCCATTAACCTTCCTGGATGTTCCTCCTTGCCTCCTCCTATGGCTCTGTCAAGTTGCCCAGAGGTAATCTAGCCATTCCTTCACTCATAAATTAAGAAATACAGAAAGAGGCTGTTTCCTGATTCTTGGCTCTTCGACCAATAGGCAGTTACTATGATGCCCTTTTTACCCAAAAGTTGGAAAAAGAGAACAGTTTTTTTTAATTTAATCTATTAAAAAAAAGAAAAGAAATACAGCAGGAAAAACCTCTCCCCATCATTTGGGGAAAGTCTTCTTCTTGGCAGAACTTACTTCTTATTGAAGAAATACAGTTGTGTCCCAAGCCTTTCAGAAAGTGCTTGACAACACTGATCTACATCTTCAAGTATCTAAAAAGAACACAGATATCACAAAGGAGCAGAAAATAATTTTAATTAATTAAAGCTCTAGTTAAAAATACGTCACATGCATGAGATTTTTAACAATATTTGTCCACAAAGTTCTTGTCCTTCCCCTATGATCTTTTATTCTTTACCCTTTAAATGCAAAAATGATGTATTTGTACCTGTTAAAAATCAAACAGGAATAGTCAATACAGTTACCATGTTTCCGTATCAAGCACTTAGATTCAACCCAGAGAGAAACCTATACAAATGACCTCATATATAATTTTTGTGCACATTTGGGGGTTTTCGCCAGCTTTTTTAAAGAAATCTTCATGCAAAAATTAAAAAGACCTCTAGAATAATATCTAATAGCAGTTGCTGTTAAAAAATAACCCTGATGTACATACCTGAGAGCATTTGGGAATTTCACCTAATACTAACTTCTACTGATAGCTAACCATCCAATGCCCAGTACTATGATCCTATTATTCAAATATTGAAAGGTTTATACTGGATGCCATTTTTTTCAACATACTGATCTTAACTTTTAAAGCTCTAAATAATAGCTTATATTCTGGCCATTTAAGTATCCTGTTTCATTATAAACATACTGTATCATAAAAACAAATTAAAAAATATATCTAGCAAATCAAAATATATCCCACAGTAAAACCATCATCTCATATGAGAGACAACAGAGGCTAGTTTTTATTTAATTTACCAAGAAGATACAAAGAAATCAGTGCCTCCCTGAAACTTTACATTTTGCATTTTCTAGGGGGGGAAAAAATCAGACTTGGGGAACTAATGACTGACCTGATCAAGTGACTTATTGCCCCAGCCAATAGCCTTCATTTTACGCTGCACCTCCCATTGCTTCTGATAGGCCAAAATGCGATTCAGAGGCCAAGGATAAGGAGAACCATATCTTGGATGAGTGATCTTTAAAGGGGGGAAAAAAAGGATTTTTGTCTTCTTATATAACTGAGAAAGCTGTGTTTTAGAAAAGACTAGACTAACTATAATTTTATTGCTGTGGCTCTGCCTCAGAACCTATTCTGTGCAATTATTTATAACTTGCAGCTACAAAAGCAAGCCTTTAAAATTATATTAAAAAAATTTCACTTTAAAACTAGCACATCCAATAATGACATAGAGTAACCCGAAATGTATATGCAAGCAAAATTAAAGCAAAAAAAAAAAAATGGCATCATTAGTGGTTTAAACCTCTATGTTTCATTTATGAGTAGGGACTTGCAATTGTGAGCAAAAGTGTTTTCTCATTAAAATTTAATTAAGATGTATGCTGCAGAATCACTCACCTCCTGGACTGTAGCATCATCACACCACTGAAGATACAGCTAGAAACCAAAGAATACTAAACTTCATAACAGAGAAGGTTACACAGTCATTTATTCCTTGCAGCTTTCTCTCCTAGCTCTACCAAACAAGCCATTAATAATATTTAAAACACATAAATACGGCTACTAGACTTATCATGAAGCTAATACAATAATTCAATGCACCCAAAATAATCTGAAAAGGATTGTGAAGTGCACATAAAAGTGTGCTGCTTTTTGAGAAGCACTGTTAATCGTAAGTCCACCTTTTTTTTTATACACAAATGGTAGCTGTGGCTTGCAATATTACAAAGAAAATAGCATTTCGCTCCCCCTCTTCAATATAATTCATTTCCCAAGACTGACAAATTACTAGTGTTTTGCCATACCTCCGCTGTCAAAAGCATATTATTGACTAATTCCATGTAGGCTTTCATCTCAGCTTTTTGGACTTCATCCAACCCATCACTAAGTGAATGGCCCTAAGGCAGGAGAGAAGGAAGGAAAGAGAAAGGAGAACAAAAATTATCTATTTGGGTTCTTTCCAAACTTTACTGAAGTCCAGGGCTTTCTTTCATTCAAAACAATCCTTTGCAACATTACACATAAGAGGCAGCTTTGTAGACCTCAAAGATTATTAAAGGCTCTGGGCATGGGGTGAGGGAATATTGAAGTGAAATCTTTTAAATAGAAAAGTACAGAGTGATCAGTAAACAGAACTTTCCAGCTACAGACCTTTGCTTTGCTTTTCTGCTGAGTGGTTTTTATAAATACGACATCTTTGTAAATAAACTGAAGTGAGTTATGATGATGTAAATACCTTATTAAAATACGATGCATGGGTATCGATTTACGAGACTAAAGAAAGAAGCAAGAGTAAGCATAAATATTGATTATTTGGAATTTTTTAAAGATTTAAACAAAGTGTTCTCTATGTAGTAGATTGCAAAAGCCAAGAACTAAGTGCAACATTATTTCTTGGCAACAGCCAAGGTAGCAGACAGAGCATGCAGCAATCGGGAATAGGCAACTTGGTAGTGCACTTTAAAAAAAAAAAAAATCTTAATTTCAAAAGCCACAGCAGGCATGGCCAAGGTTCTGAAACGATCAAAGCTACAATCCAAACCCTCTGGAGGGCACCGAGGTGATGCCTACCCTATCTTAGATGTAGGACAGGATCCAAAGGGCTTTGGACAGCTCAGGCCTCTTCCTATAGAGCCAAGACATACAGAAAAACAATTTGAAAAATAAATGGAAGCCCTTTCAAAGAGACATCTAAACCATTATAATTGGCAAAAAAAAATCATCTAAAAAGGATTTGACTCAGCTGAATCAACTGAAAATTTTTTAGGTAGTTACCGTTGAAGCCTTGCTGTATCTGAATACGTAATCAGAAATCTGTTTACACTAGACAAATGCTAAACTCAAGCTATAATTTAGCTTTTCCCCATTTAATTACCATGTAATTAGTTTATAAATTTCTATCTACCATATATCAACTGAAAACAATTAATGAATAAGTTGATACTGTAACATTGCACCATAGTACTGTATTACAGAATAAACAAAAAACTATTGAGAAAAGAATATTGGAAAAAAGGTAAAAATAAAAGTCTATTTATCAATCATTTCAGTTATGGAATTGGCTTTTAAGGCCACATGAATTAGTAAATTTGAAAGATGGAAAGAAGGAAGGAAAAGTTGCTCGCCTAAAATCAAAATTATACATCCTAAATGTATGGAAAATTTAAGCAACAGAAAATACTTAGATATTCAGATGATGCGTATTATTACCATGTATGAACCCCAGAATGTTTGGGTTCATATCATTTGCTTCAAAACGAAAGAAATATAGATTTGGCTGAAAGGTCCTACTGGAAGAAGCATATGTTCATTCCCTCTTCCTTACAGATATCTTGCCATCTCCCTCACTTTCTTGAAACTTTTTTTTAAGAAATTTTATTGATTTTTTAATTTTTACATCAAAGTGCTTAAGAAACCAAGTGGTGATGGGTGTACCAATTATCCAAAAGCAAAATCATACATATATAACTAAGGTTAGTTCATTAAAAGCTACCTCACTTTCTTGAAACTTGATCAGACTCCCAAGATAGTTTCAGAGCATACAAGTAACTGAAGAAAGAGAAAATTCCTTTCTTTCTCATGCCAACATGAAGACCTAAACATCAGCAATTACAATGCAGCCAGAAATCTACATTACACAAATTTCATCTTCGGAAGATGGTCCAATAACACCAGTTTCTTATCCTGAATAGCTAGGATTGGATCTGGTATTAGTCCCTGGTGGGAAATTACCAAGAAATGCCAATCCTATAGGTTAGATTGGGAAGTATAGAAAAAAAATTCCAAAAGACAATTATATGTTCCTTCTGTATTGTTGCCAGGAAAATTACAGGGGCAAGTGCATTACATCACCAGTTGAACTCTATTCAAAGGAGACTTTACAGTAATTATCATTTAAACATGTTTCAATTTAAGGCTCCCATATCTGCTAACTGGGGAGATCTTGGAGCTGCAACTTAAATACAACTAGAAGACATCATGATGAGGCAAAGCAGCTGCAGTTGTTCTTTCTGACATTCTTGGGTAATACATAGTTGTGTACTATCTGAATAAATAAATGATATTGACATGTATAGAAAGAAAGATGAATATTGTACAGAATGTTGTTTGTACAAAAAAAGAGTTCAGCCCAATAATGATAGATAGAAATGTACAAATCTCTATACACATAAGCACTCAGCAGAAAAGTAACCCACTGAACTGGATAACATTTAAAGGTTATTAATGCAGTATTTTCTGAAAGAATAAGCTATTTTATTTTCAAAGCTATGATTTTATCAAATCACCAGGATAATTTCATAAACAAATAATTAAAACTACTGAATAGGTATTATATCGTTTTTTTAAATATATACACATTACCTTGGCTTTTACAAACTGGACAATGGGGCCAAGTTCTGAAACTACTTGATTTCCTACATGAATAAAGGGCACTTTTCCTGTGGGTAAAAAGAAGAATATATTTCAACATTCATCACCAACCTATCATTCTAAACCAGAACGGTAAGAACAGGGATCCACTGAAACTGAGATTTTAGTTTTGTGTTTGTGTATTGGTTTTGAAAGATGTATGAAAACATAGGATTATAGTATTGGTTCTAGGCAAAAGAAGTTGATCCTCTCCTGAATGTAAAACCCAAATACTACTGTCCTCCTCATCATCAAAATTATAGTAAAAGAGAGAGCAGTTTAATACAATTAGTTGTTAGGGGAGGGAAAAAGTAATGAAACAATAAAAAAAACATGTGTAATTAAAACATTTTCATACAGTGATGTGACTTGGTTGATCTCATTTAGACCTCAGCTCTTCCTAAAAATCTAGCCTTCTGCATCCAGGGAATTCTGGATAGCATATAAGTGCTTCTTATTCACACAGAAGAGTTATTGGGGTTGGACAGTTTACATCAGGCCACATTTGTTTGTAAAGGTTTCTACACAGTTACTTCTCATTTTCTTGTAAACCAAAACCCCCAAAGTACAAAAATATTTTCCTGTTTGAGGAAATATAACTACCCTGAGCACCATTTATTAACAGAAAGGCTACTACACATGCACAAGTATATGTATTTTGTTTTGGTATGAATCTACACTATCAATTGACCAAAAAAATGACCATATTTCTTCCAGAGGTGGAGAAAGATGTAATTTTAAAATCAACTAGCCTCAACGCAGTACATTAATAACTAATCAAAAATTGTTGAAACAAATGTCACAAAATAGTGCCACTCAATATTTGTTCCAAATACTAAAATAAATGCTAAGGTTGCTGGGCTTTAACATATAATACTATATCAGTTTCACAGAAATGATGTAGAATATAAAAGATACAGAGTTTAAAGAAATAATATTCATGAACAGCATTCATGGATATGTACTGGTGATACAGGCAGTCATGCTGTTTTCAAAAAGGGGGGAAAGTCAGGTCACTATCACTTTTTATTCAAGACCAGTAGATATAATCTAATATCCATTACTGATTTTTTCTATGAAATGTAAATTTTTCATTTTGAGATGGACTGAAAACTTCAGACTAAAGTGCCTATAGTAACCTAATTTTTACCTTTCCCTACTTCTTACTGTACCCCAATAAAAAGTCCTGAAAAGTTCAAAAGCTTGCACACTCTTTTATGACATTTGACCTAACTATAACTATCACCCTACTATAATTCTAATAAAGCTAATTATCTGTGCTAACTCTGTGCTCATACCTTAGTGATACCTCATCAGAAATTGACAAGCAATGAACTAGTTGGCCTGATGTCCCTTTGTTTGCACTGAAAGGCTATAATCCTAAAACTTCTTGCTGAGAAATTTTATCAGTCTCTTCATTGGAGGACTACACAAATAACTGTGAAGGTTACACACTGTCCAAAGAATATTTGGAATATTCTTGCTTTTATTTTTACTGAAATAAATCAAAAAATAAACCAAAAAATCTTGGTCACTGACAGTTAGACTGGTTCAAAAAGGGAATTGCAAGCAAGGCACTCTGCACAATGACATAAACTGCAAAAGGAATGCAGGGCCTTTTGAACTTCCAGACCTCTCCATGGTCCTATCAATCACGCTTTTGCTTCCACGGAACTACTATATATACAGAATGAGCTTTTGGTGTTCCTACAGCAAGAGTCAGCATATCAGTGCTCTCACAAGGTGTGCGTTAAGTGCCCTCTTATTAACAGATGGAGAGAAAGAGAGCAGTGCCAAGCAAGCTGTCTTCAAATGTGGAATCCCATAAAAAAAGGAAAATGCATTCATGGTTCTAAATTTTAACCTTGTAGAATTAGGGCCACAATTTCTGCTACACGGTTGTTCACAGAAGTTCCATTTATCCAAGCACTAATTTATAGCAAAGCATGCATATGATAATGCATGATAAAAAGGCTTTTGCGGTAGGCAGCAGGAAATGCTTTCAACCTGCCAACTCAAAAACTGGAAAAAAAATATTCCCATTAACATTGAATTTTGCTTTATTTAGATATTTCTTTTTACCACAGCTAATGGGGAATAAGAACTTACCACATTATTGGCTAATTAGCAGGCTATCTTCATAGAAAGCAATGTACATATTCCCAATAGTTCGAGGCCATAAGGGGACATGCCCAGACGATGAAATTTAGGAAAATAAGTCTCAGTGAATTCAGTCCCACAATACTCAATTGTAGCATCTTTTAGCCTGCACAGCTTTCATTGTTGTTAACAAGCCCAGCTGTGCCCACTCCAGACACATCTTGTTTCCTGTAATGAGGAAAGTATGTCTGCATGTGAGTATGCAGGTATGCTACCTCATTTCCTCTGCAAAGATCTGGGTGACCTCTAGATGGAAGCAAAGAGTTAAATTCTTCATTATCTCTTTGCTGACATTTAGCGGTTGCCTGGATTTTGCAAGCCAGATATGGTAGTCTTACTCTTCATGTAGGACAGTGTTTCTCAACCTTGACAATTTTAAGGCATGTGGACTTCAACTCCCAGAATTCCACAGCCAGCAATGCTGGCTGTGGAATTCTGGGAGTTGAAGTCCACATGCCTTAAAATTGTCAAGGTTGAGAAACACTGATGTAGGAAGTGTGGGAAACTCCTTTCTGAACATGCCCCTTCAATAGATAATAAGAATCAAATCTATGAGTAACAAAAAATGCTACTTTAGTGCATAATGAATCAAATGAGAGAGCACAGCAGCAACCCTGTATATTTGCATATAGAATTGCCCCAAATTAGAAGAGGATGTTTAAGAGAACCTGCTTGTAAAACCTGAAAGGGGCACATGAGGACATGTACAATGATTGGTTACCTCCATCTGGGCCCTCTCTCTTCAATCTTTCTGAGAGCTCAATTCTGTAAAGTAATCTTTGTTAGGGTATTAAAGGGAAAAGCTGCTCAAAGGTAGAATGTAAGAAAGAAGACAGGTCATCTCTTTTCATCTAATGTTAAAACCAGGCTCTTCCATCTACTTCCATCATGTCCGAGGCAGTTCACATTTAAACACACAAAACTGTTAGCAATATGTTTACCTTAGCCTTACAGCACTGCCCTTTAATGCAGTTTAATGATGAAAAGGTATTATTTCTGTTTCTTGCTAGAAAAAAAAAATCTGTAGCACAACAAGAAACAAGCTACTGCATAGTGCAGCATACAGTAACTCCAACCGATCTCCAAGATGAGATACTGTTGCCATAGTTTCCAAGCACAGGTGTAGTGAAAATGATTGGTACACTTACCAGATGGGGACATATATTCTGCATTTGCCCTACAAACCACCTGGACTGGCAGATTGCACATTTGTAAAAAAGCCTGAAAATAAAGAAGAGTAAATTAAAATTTTTCACATTACATGAAGGGAAAACATTTTTTTAATATTTGTAATTCTAAGCCACAAGATATATTCTTTTATTTATAATTATTTCCCCAAACAGATAACTAGAAGAACTATACTTCTAGGTACTAGCTTCTAACACTGCATTTATCACAAATTCATCACTCTAGATGCAACTAAAAATGAACAGAGAATAGCAATCTAAAACATACAGCATCTCCTTTATTCATTTTCTTGTACTTTACTGTGATAATCTCTCTCTAAAAAAAGAAACCACACCAAAAAATAACCCTTAAATTCTATTTTGGCAGTAATAATTATTGTAGTTTTAAAATAAATCAATGAAATCTGCTACAATATTGATTTTTCATGGAGCTTAGCCCGCAAATTAAAGTGTAGCCCACTTCATATTTTTAAAAAGATGCCATTCTGTTGTCCTACTGCTAACTTTAATCAAACATTAAAAGTGCCCAGTCTATAGCACATAAATCTGCCATATCTGTACCTTGCATTATACAGACCTGAGCTGACTGAAAAATAAATCCTGGCTCTCCTAATGGACTAGAAGCTTAGGAGCTCAAACTGTGGGTAAGGATCCCCTAGAACATGGGTAACCAACTCCCGGTCTGTGGACCGGCACCGGGCCGTGGCATACCAGCAACCAGGCCACGCAAACAAGTGAAGCCCCATCTGCTGGATATAGGCAGCACACGAAACCACGCCCCCTCTGGTTCGCGGAAAAATCTTTTCTCCACAGAACCAGTCCCTGGTGCCCAAAAGGTTGGGGGCCTCTGCCCTAGAAGACATCTCTGCTTAGAAATTTCTCACTCCTAAAAAAGCAAGTCTTAAAGTGTCTGAGCCTCTAAACAGGTCAGCTCTGTAAACAGACAAGAGTGGTTAACTTCCAAAACATATCAAAGCTAGAACAGTCAAACAGGCTTTGTGGCTATACCTGAAAATGAGGAACAGTGGGCAGCAATGGCAAAAGCATTTCTCCCTAATAAACCTTTTGCTTTGATTCTCAGGTTCTTCCAACCACAATAGAATACCCATTCCAGACAAGCAAAATTTCCATAAACCTATTCCCACAAAGGAACATGAAGAGGGGAGATTTCCATAAAGTACGAAGAGAGAGTCCAAGCTCAGATATTTTGAGTAATACCAAGGCTTTTCTGGAACTGCATATTATTAATCTTATAAATAAATCAAAGCCAGTTCTAGTAGTATTTTAATGATTAATATTTAAAATACGGCTGTAGAGAATGTCAATATACAGACACTGAAGGGGATCTGCATTTTCTTTCATTAAAAAATGACAACTGGAAAAAAAAGTGGAAATTATACATGAACTAACGCACAAAATATTCCTTTTTTCCTATCAAGCAGTGGCAGATGCTGTAAATTGCAACGTCTGTCTAAAATTATAAATGAAAATGGTTCAATATCATTCTTGGAATGATAGAGTATATGCCTAATGCAGTTATGATAATAGCCACATTTGTAGTTTAACATAAATTAAGAGTTTAATTGTATTTGTGACTACTTTAAACAAAGTAACACGTTCTTTTGTACCTGCAAATGTAATTTATTGCAAAGCCAGGTTCATTTTCCAGAACAATCAGTTTTATACTACCCTGGAATGCTGCTGTAATGTAATTCCTGCTGTAGAATGTGTGAAGAGTACATTCACTGGTACCACAGAGGAGGCTTTGAAGATAAATGAAGATGCTATTCATTCAGGAGTAATTTCATCTTAGAACCATATGAAAGATGTTTCACTCAGACACGGTAGATGCCTGGCTTGGGATTTCAGTCTATTTTCAGCTACAGTGTAATGTTGTTAAATCGATTATGTTGATACTGTATTTCTAATCATGAAGAATTTCAGCTATTATTCTACTTAAAGAATGGATTGTCAGACTTGCATTATACTGTTCAGTCTCTATCCAGTTTACAACACAATTACTGTTTCAAATCACAAACTGAAATTATAAATTTGCACTAAAAGAAACACAAGTCAGTAAAATGAAAATCAGATAGTCTGCAGCAGCCTTTAAAAAAAACGATTTAGAGAAAAATGATCCTTCTTTTCACTATAAAGAAATTAATGAGCTTCCAATGCATCAGTTTCTTTCAAGTTTTACTCCAATTGAGTTTATGTTTCTATATTATGTTTATCCTTGGTAACCAAACTCCATGCATGTACTACACAAAAAAAATTCTCTAAAGGGAAGGGAGAAAATAATTTCTGCCTGAATAGTGATCTGAGTCAGATTCATAATAAAGCAATCAACATGTCTTTATAATCTCTACAATCATGAGAATATCACAGAAAATTACCATTCCAGTGCCCAAATAGGAAATGAAAGATACCAAACAACAATTCCTAAAATTTCAAGTGTTTGAAACCTATATCAGTATATCCTGACAAGAAAAATATCAGGATCACTTTTTGGAATTTTTTTCCCTTTATTTCTTGGCAGGAAAACACAAACAAAAGGAAGGGTAAATTATTAGCAATCTTATAAAAAGTGGAGTGAAGAAAGAATCTACAGAGCATATTCAAAAAGCAGAAAACAGAGACTTCTCTTCATGTTGACCATCTCATTGACTCCCGTTAGTCTTCTTTCTGGATATTCATTGCCTGAAAGCTGAAGACCACTGGAAGATGGTCTAATAGAAGACAATTTTCTATTATATAATAGATTCAGAGAGAATGTAATGTAGTTGATTTCTGCCTCATTACTCCTGCCTTAAGTTTCTTCAATTTTATTTCTGCAGCAATTTGTAAATTCTCTGTTAAAAACCACATCTAAAAATGCACACATCTTTGCCCAAAAAATCTTTTTTCATACCATATATATGAGGATAAACTGACTCTCAAAATTGCAACCAAAATATCTACCATGAAAAATATGTCATCCAGAACAACCCAATTGTCATATTTAAAATGGAATCTGTTTTAGAAAACTTTGTTACAGAAAATATGAAAACAAATGAACTCCTTCAGAATTTGCTGAAAAATCATACAAAAATTATCAAAATCTTTAAAAATCTACATCATCCTCACCTTATTATGCAAAAAGACCTTCAGATATTCAGATTCTCCCTTTATAATACATCATCACTATCTTCCTCACCTTCATCTTCATCACTGGCATCTGCTCTGTCATCTTCATATATTGCATCATCTTCGGTTCTATCCATGGCATTGCTGATGCCCCACTTCAAACATGAATGGCGAGCCATATCCAAAGAAATATTTTCCCATGTATCATTCACCTATTTTTCTATCACCTCTATATTTGATTCTTTAAAATGTCCTCTTCCTTAACATGGCCATGCCAAATATTGTTTGTGATATGCACTCTAAATAAGTCCCAGATGAGAAAGGAAGATTTCTTCTTGAAAGAGGAGGACCCAGCCATTTGTCCCAAACATTCTCAAGCCACAGACTTGTACCATACTTGTCCATCCAAAGCTTTTCATGGGAACACAATCTCTCTCTCTCTCTCTCTCTCTCTCTCTCTCTCTCTCTCTCTCTCTCTCTCTCTCTCTCTCTCTCTCTAAGAGAGAGAGAGAAAGAGAGAGAGGGGGAGGGAGGGGGAGAGAAATTTTGCTTGCTTGCTTTTAGGAGCTTTTTTCACTTAAAAATAGTATCTGGATGTATCTTAGTTCCATTTGTTAAACATGAAAGAACCACACTAAAATTATTCTTTTAATGTCCTGATATCCTAACAAAAATTGTTTTTTACCAATATTTATCAATTGCAATCAAATTACCATCAGTTTTGTTCATATTCTAATATCACCAAGTTCATATTCTAATATCACCTATGATGCTTAAAGTTGTTTAAGAATATTTTTTTCAAAGGAAACCACTTTTTCTTCAAAAGTTTTGGGTAGCACTTGAGAAACTTTATTTCACTGACTCAAGCAAAGTCCACATCTAACCATGAATTTGGAACACCAGACAACAGAAAAACAAAAATCTACTACGCCCTTAGCCTCATATTTTTCAGATTTTGCCATTTGAAGTCTTCCCAGACAAACATTGGTCCTGGTAGCAAGTGTGCAAGTAATTTCCTAGCCCTGGGACCAAAGACACTCTGTATCAGTATGCCTTCTTCCAATTTGATGTACCTTCTAAACTAACTTTTGTTTAGGACATCTTCAAGGCAACCTTAGAAACCTATACCATATTTAATTATTAGATTAGATGTCACCATTCATGTAATATGCCTACATACTTGTAAAAAAAAAGACTATACTGAACCAAAATCAAATGACATAAACATTTAATGTCCTCCAATATAAAGTTAAAAAATACATTTTGAAAAACTGCACAATGCTCAGATAATTTATGTTATAACTTTTATATTAGTTGTAAAAATTTCAAAATGCTTATTCTTTCAGAGGAAAAACTATTATTCAAGAGTCAACTTATTAAATTATAATTTACTTCTGTGTCTCACAGAAGCTCAGGAGAAAGGAGGCACACTGTTGATTTACAGAAGAACATACAAAAAGTAAGGATAAGGCCTAAAATGTCAGTATGAATTTTCAGAACTCTCTCCTTCAAGCTATCTAAAAAGGTTCAATTATATCCAATATTGTCTTTCTGCCAACCAGTAATATATGGCAGAAAAGATTTTCTCTCCACCTGCACCTCTATATAACCATAAATCTGCTCTAGAGAGCTGGATATTCTCTGAATGATTGGGGGGGGGGGGGAGAGAGGCACAGAAGGAAATAAAGGAGAAATAATTTGCAAGTTCAACTCAACTTACTTACTGTATCTTCAAAACCATTAACACTGCAATCTCATATAGTTCTAACTGAAAGAAAGCTTTCAGGTAAGCACATAAAGGGTTGCAACTGATTATCAGAGTGAAAAATGCTGCTTTAATCTACTTAGACAATTAAAGAAATAATACATATACTTTGGTAATGTGATTTTTACTATATGGAGCCTACC